CCGGCCCCCCGCGCCGCAGCCAGGCCTCGTACAGAGCCGGCCAGCGCGCGTTCAGCTTGAAGATGCAGATGATCTGGAAGGAGCGTGTTGCGATGCACGAGAGGAAGATGGTGAAACTGATGTTAAAGACGGGGAGCCGCAGCAGGCACGTGTGCCAGGTGGGCTCCCCGAAGTAGAAGAAAAGACTGCTGCAGGCGCAGGCCAGAGAGCCCAGCATGAGGAAGCACATCTTCCCGCCTGCAGACTTGACCACTGGTGTGGAGGCATTCAGGGCAAAGAGGAGGGTCAGCCCTGCAATGAGCAGCATGAGGAGGACAGCGAGAGTCAGCAGTGCCCAGGACATGGGCTCAGACCAGGAGAGGAACTCTACGGTCCGGTTGAAGCAAGCTTCACTCCTTGCTGGGGCCCACTCGTCTACCCTGCAGGACTGGCAGCTGTAGAGGTCTGCAGAGGACATGAGCCCAGGCAGTGACAGAGGCACCTCACTTACCACAGACCCTGGTAAGTGACCTGCTGCGGTAGAGCCCCCAGCCCTCACAGCCCCCTAGCTGTCTGCAAGAGCTGCCCACTCCTCGTGTCCTGCTCTGTCCCCTTGGGCTGTTGCTAAGCTTTGGGGAGCGGAGAAGCTCCTTTCCCCAAAGCGCCCCCGTGTGGCCTTCCCAAAAGTGTATTGCTTGGTTGAGAGGTGTAAGGCCCACAGGAGCTCTCTGGGATGAGCTGAAGCTCAGGGACACGAAGGCTGTGGGTGGGAGGGGGCTTGTGTGTCCAGCAGTAACCTGCAAAGGCTGGGACAGGTCTGCATCAGCCTCCTTCCAGAAGCCAGAGCACGGGACAGTAATGCTGAGTAGTTGTGTTTGGGAGCTCCCTGCTCCCACTGTTATCTGGAGCTGGTCTGTGACACCCCCTCAGCCCAAGTGCAGGCTGAGGCTCGCGAGTCACCAGCTGCCAGCAAGGGATTTGTTTGTGTGGCTGGTGACTCCGAGGCAAGAGATTTCCACTGCCTGTCCCAGGCAGGGGATATTTCCATAAGCCAGCTGCTGGTGACCACAGGGTGCAGAAGCCCCGAGTGCCATCTGGGGCACAAAGGCAATATTCCTCCCGGAGGATGCGGTGCAGGAAGCGGCTTTTGGGCCGGACGTCCCGTGTGGGCAGGGAAGGGGCTGGGCTGTGACCTGTGGCCAGTGCCCCCCGCAAAGAGCGGGGCCTGAGCTTTGCATACCCAGGGGGGGTCAGACCAGCTGTGTCCGGGTCAGATCAGAGGTTTTTACTGAGCACGGGGAGGGAAGAGGCTGCGGGAATGGCGAGACAAACCAGGAGCTGATGGGATGAGGAGGGAAGGAAGGAGAGGGAGCAGCCCCCAAGGTGTACTGACCCGATCTGTTCAGGAAGGTTCCTGCTGGACAGGCCACGCAGCTGAAGCAGCATCTGTGG